GATTGTTGGAGTTAGGATACCAAAAGAAGCAAGCTAGAAAGATAAGAGATGGCGAGTGGTGAGCAGGAAATGGGAAGTTTGAAATTAAAATTTGACGCATAATCATTTACTATAGACTGGTTTATCTAGCAATAAAAACTTAATATGTAATTAAATATACTAAAATAATTTGATCATTCTATAACTGTATTGAGTTCCACTGCGAAAACCAAAAAAATGAGATCCTCTATTTCAAATAGAAGGAAAATCTTAATAAAAATTTTATATCAGTGCTTTTCAAGCTTTATTCTGTAGAGCCCGAAGAATTTTACTCAAAAGTAATGTCTTTTTAGCAATGAGAGAGACTGGGGTTCCATTTACACTTTCTCTTCCCTCCAACTCTAATCCTCCTCCCTCGATCACAGAAGTATCATTTGACTATTTTTTATATATTGGAGTTTTGCTAAAGATTTTCTTTGGATTAGAAGATTCCACCACTAAAACAAATAACTTCTAGACCAAATAATTTGAAAATTGATATACTTACTAGTAGTCACTAAGTTAAAATTTCAAGACTTTTATTTAACTTTGATATTTATATATAGCTTAAAGCAATTTAACAACCAAACTTTCATTTCAGATTCCCAGGAAAAGTAAACACCTTACCCAGCATGACTAGATGATGAAGGTGGTGGCAAGTCTGGTGTAAGGACATAAAGACTGTTGTTTTTTGGCAAGTGCAGCGATTTTAGGACCGTCTGAAAAAGAAAAAGTAAAACAAAAAACGAATGTTGATTGTGCATTAATAATTTTTACTGTAATTCTTAAAAATCAGTAAATTTGTAGTTTGATTTTTCATCTTTTGATAATTTCCCAGATAGGGTAATGCAAAAGAACTGCTGACTCCAAATAACCTTATTTCCTCTACGTATCATAAGGTAGCATAAACCTGAATGTTAAAATAATATGTAAGTTCTTGAGCTCATGGATACAAATAGATAAGAAAAAAGCTGGGACTCAGTAATTTCTTCACTGAAGAAGCGTATCCTTGCAACTGATATGCACTTTATTTCAGGGTCATTATGGAAAAAATTAGCAATATAGGTTTTCAGAGATCATTGGACCTTGAAAAAAGTCATAGAAAGTACCTCAAGCCAATGATTTTAAAGATGAGAAGATGCAGCCTGAGAGGTTAAGTAATTTGGATGAGGACTCTAAGTATTACTTGGGTCACTTTACTCTTAATTCCAGGTATCTTTTTTGTTAATGCTCTCTATTGGGAGTGACTTAACTACTCTTTGGCTACATATGACCTACTATCTTGATAACCACAAAAATTTCATTAAATTTCTTTACCACAAAACTCATATACATTTCAAACTCCCAATCTGATGGTAAAAACTCACTGAAGTACTTCAAACTTTTTTGACAGCAGTAAACATTAACAAATACATTTTACATTTCTACATTGTAAGCTAGGACATACATTTATTCAACAGATATTTATTGAGCCACCTACTACTCTGTGCCAGGACTACTCTAGCCACTGAGGATATAGTAGTGAATAGAAGAGCCTAAAATAAAATCCCTGCTATTACAGAGCTTACATTTTAGTAGGAATAAGTAAAATAAGTAACCCTGTATAGCTGAATATTAGTGATAATTTTTTTGACTAAACATAAAGGAGGGAAGCCGGATAAAGAATGTGTGCAGTTTTAAACAGAGTAAACAGGGTGGGTCTCACTTGGAGAATGAAATATTTGAGCACAAACTTAAAGGTGGAAGAAACAAACCATGAGAATACATAGAGAAATAATATTGCGGGCAAAGAAAACAGCCAGTGCAAAATGTTTAAAGAATAAGAAGGTGTCCAGTGAAACTGGAGCCAAGTAAGCACTGGTACGAGATAGGTCAAGAGAGGTAACAGTGATGGTGAGGACAGGACAGTGGCAGCTGTGTTGAGAATGGATGGGAAAGAGGTTGACAGAGGAGGGCAGGAGGATAGAGGAGGGTAATGAAATAAACTAAGATAAGACTGATGGTGGCTTAAGGCACTGTGATGGCAGTAGAAGTGGTGCAAAGGCACTGGGTGAAGCTGCCATCAACCGATATGGGGAAGACTGCAAATGAAGACTTCTATTCTGGACAAGCTAAGTTTGAAATATCTATTAGACATTCAAGTGGAGAAGAGAAGTAAGCAGCTGGATATACCAATCAGGAACCAGGGAACATGTCCAGGATAGAGATATAAATTAAAGATATAAAATTGAGAGTACATAAAAATGACATTTAAAAGCCATGAAACTGGACAAGATCACCACTGAATTTAATAATGTAGTGGTTGGTGATTTTGACAAGAGCACTAGCAGGTCCCTGCTTAGACTGGGCTCAATAAAATGCAGGACAGGAACTGGGGAAGTCAAATAAAAACAAGTCTTTAGGGGAAGTTTTGTTATCAAGGGGACTACAGAAATGGAGCCATTGATGGAAGAGGGGTTGGGATCAAAGTTTTTTTTTCCTTTCTTTTCCAGATAGAAGAAATAACATCATGTTTGAATGTTAATGGTAACAATCTACTAGAGGAAAACATTGACGATCCAGGAAAGACAAGGAAGAATTAGAGTGAAGTCCCTGAATAGAGATGGAGAATGTAATCCAGAGCAAAAATGGAGGTTTGGTCTTAGGAGCTTGGGCAGGCCACTAGAGAGTAAAAGGAGAGAAAGGAGACTCTGTGGGTAAGACGCAGATAAGTAAACAGAGATCGAATTGGGAGCTTTAAGGGACTCTGAATTGGAAGCACTAAGGGACTCTCTGAAGATCATGGTCATGAATTTAAAGATATATTAATCAGTATGATTTTGTTTGTCTCTTGTCACATTTAGACAGAGAGTTGGATTTAAGCAAGTAAGAATTTTGGTCAAGCAAGGACCTTGAACCAAGAGTTAAGAGTATACACAAGAAAAGTGATTATAATGACTGACTGGAATTTAACCTAGTGTAAGGAAGGGAGGACACAAAAGAGGCAATGATCATGAAAAGAAGGTAGAAACAATAGATTGGAGTCTAAGTAGAGCTGAAGGATTGTTGGAGTTAGGATACCAAAAGAAGCAAGCTAGAAAGATAAGAGATGGCGAGTGGTGAGCAGGAAATGGGAAGTTTGAAATTAAAATTTGAGTGTTGTTGTCATTATTAATACTTGATAAAACATTGAGAAGATACACATAGCTGAGGGAGGGTGGAGAAAAAGATCTTCGTAAGAGAGAAATTCAAGGAACTAAGAGGCCAACGTATTGGAAGAATCATTTACAAAGATATTAACATTATTAATACTAAGAATTAATACAGAAATCACTTATAAACCAGGAATTAAAAATAATCGGGAAATGAGGGTAGCTGACTTCAACAAGTCAGTGATATAATCTTTTGACGTGAAATTTAAAGATGAAGGAAATTTAGAGAGGAATGACAGATAACATTCTGAAACTAAAAATGAGGAACAATGAGGAGATATATTTTGCCACTTACTCCAGTGGTATGAGGGCTGACAGAGAAAAATAACTAACACTGAGAAGGCTGCAGAGAAACAATGTCCTCAGGAAGATGGATTTCAGTCAAAGAAAGACGGTGAAAGGGAATGTACAGGAAAGAGGCTGACAATAGAAGGAATTTTGCTAATAATGAGTTCGTTCCACAGGGCATAGCAAAAAGGTTTCAGACATTGCAAAGAAAAAGGATAGAGACAGGTATGGAATGTGCAGAGACTATGGAGATTTTGAGTGAGGGGTGACCCGGGAATTTTGGACTCCATGCAGTGATAGGCACAAATGGGGAAAAAGCATAATGAAATTAGTCCTGGCTGAATCAAAACAAATAATAATGGCAAGGCTGAAAGTGTTAGAAAGCAATGAGGAGTGGATGTCTAAAAATCCTTCTTAACCTTGCAGATGGAGGCAAGGACACCTGGAGGGGCAGTCTTACCAAAACATAGAACATCAGGAACTTATTCTTGACCCCTCCATGAGAGGGCCCATCTTACTAAGTGCACAGTCTTACACCAAGGGTATTGAGTCTTACTCTTAACTCATATTAGTTATGTGTTAAATAAAAAGAAATACATACTTACCCTTATTATTTGAAAAACACTCTGACATTTTCTATTATATTCTGGTTTTTACTTTTCTATTTTTTTTTAATGTTGTCTATAACCCACTCAATTAACTTCAGAACCCACTAATGGTTTGTAGTCCATGGTTTGAAAAAAATACCATATTAGGCATAACTTCATAACTTCATAATCTACCAGGATACACTGAAGTCCTGAAGCTTTATGTCAAATATGTGATGCCCTTTTGAAATTGATGTGTTATCTCTGTAGAGTTAACATGCAAACAAACAAAACACACACACATAGGAAAATTATTTTTGTCTCTTTATCTTTTAGCATTTTACTTTGTGAATTACTGATAAATGCTTAGTCTTACCACTTAATCAAGTCATTACTATCTTTTTGCCATGCCACTATCCAAAAAGATTTTCTATTAAATCTGCCCTGTAAAAGCACATACGGCATGAATAAACAAAATGGACACTTTCCTTAAGTCATTTACTCATGCATTCATTCCATGAACATTTATTTGATACCTATTGTACCAGGCACTGGATATACAATGGTGAAAGAAACAGATATGGTCCCTCTACTCATGCTACTGTGATGGAGAATGCTGGCATGAGAGCCAAATTAGACACAGAGGCCATGTTGGAGAAAGTAACATTAAGCTGAGACTTGAAGGATGAAAAAGAGCCATCCATGTGAGGAATTCAGAGTAAAGCATTCCAGACAGTTGAATAGCATCTGTCAGGTAAAGATGTAAAGAGTATGAGCCTATTAAAAGACTTAAGAGGTTTCTATGACTGTAGCATGGAAAGTGAGGGTAAGAAAGGCTCAAAGTAAGGTTACAGAGGTGAGGAGGGGGTAAATAATGTAATGCCTTTTAAACTATGGTAAGTAGTCTGAATTTGATTTAAAGTGCAATAAAAAGCTATGTTTTAACAGGAGAGCAATATGATTCATGTTTTTAAAAGATCACTCTGGATGCTGTGTGGAGAACGCATTAGAAGAATCCATGAAAGGAAGGTAACACAAACATAATGACATTTCATACTGAATCAGTCAAGACATGCTAATGGCCTGGATTAGGCAGTTGCAATAGAAATACTGAAAAGTGGCCACGGTTAAGATATATTCTGGAGATAGACTCTACAGGACATCCCAAAGGGTTAGGCATTATAAGAAATGGGAAAAGACTGATAATGACACTTTTGGATTTAGCAGTGGCTACAGAGTGCTGCCATTTATTGGGGAAGATTAGTAGAGAAGTAACATAGAAGGGAAAATTAAGAGTTACATTTTAAACATGTTAAGTTTGAGATGCCAATAAGATATCCAAGTACAAAAGTCAATTACCAATTTGGATATGTGAATTCATAGAAGTATGGGTTGGAAATATAAGTTTGAGGGCAATCAGAAAATTAATGGCATGGGAATATCAGAAAAGAGTATAAAGAAGTTAGTAACTAAAAGTATTATTTGTAACAAAGACTATGTTCAAATATTAGAATACATAGCTTGAAGAACATTTTTAAAATGATTGCCTTTCTCTTTACAAACTCCTGAAAATGCCATGCAAGTTTGATTCATACCCACAGGTTTCACAATGAATGAATGAATAAATAATATAGCTACACAAACAAATTCATTTTGGTGTTTTATTTCTGTCAAGGCTATTGATTTACTCAGTCAGCACTTTTTAAAATTTTTAATCCATGTATCAATTAGAACAGTCATGCAGCACCAGGGGTCAGCAAACTCTGGCCCATGGGACAAATCTAGCCTGCTACTGGATTTGTCCCGCAGTCTGTTTTTGTATGACCTGTGAGTTAAGAATGGTTTTTACATTTTTAAATGGTTGGAAAAATAAAGCAAAAGAACATAACACATGAAATTACATAAAATTCAAATTACTGTTTCCATAAACAAAGCTAAATTGAAACATAGTTATGCTTGCTCTTTCACATTTTGTCTATGGCTACTTTGACACTATGACAGCAGAACTGAGAAGCTATAACAGAGACTGTATGGTGCACAAAGCCTAAAATATTTACTACCTGGCTCTGCACAGAAAAAGCTTGCTGACTCCTAACATGGCATATCACTAACTTGTATCTAAACTTACAAAGATCTTGCCAACCTGAAATTCCTGTAAATATTGAAATACTCAGAACATTTCCGTATTTCAGATGAACTCCCATATAAGTACTTATAAGCACAATGTCTACCAGAAGCCATTCACAATTAAGAAATGAAGTTGAAGACTCTAAGTTTATGCTTGGTCATTAAAATAGTGACTCAGTAACTAGTGTAAAAAAACCTGATAATTATTTCTACCTCAAACATCTAAAACTTTAGAGCTAACTGACTTTTTTCCCTCCTTCCCCACACTCTCTGTAAAAAAAAAAAAAAAAGAAAAAAGAAAGTATATGAAATACTTTATAACAGGGGCTGTTACTGGGTCCTTGAGAACAGCCACTCTTTACTTAAAACTGAAACACTGTGCAAATTCTTAAAATATAATTCATTCCTGCCACTATCTAAGTAAACAAAGAAGGATTCTTACCATTTAAATTCTCCAGGTTTTAAAAATTTCCTATTATTATCTTTGTTTCATAATCAATACTTGGCATTAATATATGTGTGTGACTTCTTTCAGGCCAGTATGTAATTGTTCATTAACTTATTATTCCAAGGCACTCACTGATACCCTAAGAGGTTTGAAAAAAAAGTAAAGGCTCTCAAAAATGAGTGCCAAACTCCTATAAAATTTAGAAATAGGAAAAATATGTCATATTGTATGTTTGTTTACATGCCTAACTCATTTAAAATTGTCATTGGTTTAGCATGAAAATGCTTTAGCTTAAAAAACATTGTTTGATGATTCCTTAAACTAAATTACTATTGCTGAATCTACCCTGTAATATGTAACAACGTTAATTAAAACCAATTTTTATATAACATTTAGTCAATTGCGTAACTTAATTTTCTTTTATTTCTAGGCAATTAAGAAACTCACACTGTCTTCCACATCTCCGGTCTTCCAGCCTTTTAACAGCATTTTAGACATAGGTATCTGAAGTTCATTTTCTAGAATCTGTTTAATTTCTCCTGTATAAATAAGAAGAGACCAGATATTATTAACAAAATAACACATTCAACATTTGTCCATATCCAGGGCTAGCACTAATATTTGGCATACAGTGCACAGTCAATGACATTTGTCTGATGAATGAGTAAGAAAAATTTCAGTAGTCCAAACTTCAACTCTCCTTGAGTAAACATGTTGACCCCTTCAAGAACTCAGGATTCAGCATTAATTATTATAAAACATTCCACAATTAAATATGGAGTTAATTTTTTTAAAGCATGGCTTTTTAAAAGAAATAGGTATTAGTGATTGGGGATTTCAACAAGACAATCTCTTTCAAACCACTAAACTGACAATACCTACTACATGCTCAGCATGTGACAGGAGCTGCAGATAAAGTACAAAACCTGAGGCATTACAGTTTAGGGAATGAACATTTGGGCTGAAGTTTTATTTTGGGGAAATCAAATAACTTGCCTATTCTTATTTCTACATCTATAAAATGGGAATAATATTACCTATCTTATCTTGCCCTAGCATATAAGGATAAGTGGGAGATACACATTAAAGTAACTGAAAAAATAAAGCTAATATATATTATCTAGAAGACAGTTTAAATTGCATTGAAGAGAAATGCAACAGAATTTCAGAAAAGAAAAAAGAAATTATATTGGATCAAATAGCCAGAGAAGGTTTTGTGAGAGAGATGAAGCTATGAAGGGCAGCCAAACCAAAACAGGCAAAGATACTCTATTTAGTGAAGACAGAAAGGTAAAAAAGGAAAAATGGACACAACGCTCATGAGAAATAGTGAAGAATCACAATTTTCACAGTGCTCCAGAAATTCTTTTTCAAGAATCAAGCCTACTTATAAATTAATTGGCTGATTTATGGTACTACACTATTTTAAACAGATATCGAATCAGAATGCACAAATCTTTTGTATATCTGCTTTTTGTTAGGTTTCTGCTAGTCTCTAATTTTAGATTAACACATAATTCAATTCTATTTATAATAAGTTAGTACATGAATACCAAAAAACCTGATTATGTTATATATTAAAAGAGGAAAGGTAATTCCACGCTGATAAAGGAAAGGAAGGGTGGAAAAGCTTACGCTTCACAAGTTCTATGAAAACACAGCTGTCTAAGTAAGCAATGCTACAATTCAATCATTCATGGCCTCAGTGATATTTTTTACTTTCCTAAAGAAAATTCCTATCTGAGTACTTTGGACAGTGATTAGCCATCATAAAAATAATTCTGGCTCAACATTATATCTGTGGAAGCACAAACTTTAATCAATCTTGACCTTCAAAAATATCACTATTGATAAAGCATCATTCTGTTCATAGAAATAATGGGAGGGTAAGCCACATTTTTTATACTAAATACATATAAACATTGCCTTTTTTGTTTGTGCTGTTTCTAAAGCTGTACTTGTCTGGAACTGAGCTTATACATTTGCAAGTCTGCCCAGTGCTTTCCTCTTAGAAACCTATCTCCACTTGACACCTCCTTCTTACGCTTTTTTTTTTTTTTGAGACATAGTCTCACTCTGTTGCCCTGGCTAGAGTGAGTGCCGTGGCATTAGCCTAGCTCACAGCAACCTCAAACTCCTGGGCTCAAGCGATCCTTCTGCCTCAGCCTCCCGAGTAGCTGGGACTACAGGCATGC